CAGTACTTGCACAGTATTAGTTAACCAGCAGTTGAACGGTAGGTGATTACTGAACGGTAGATTACAAATATAACAGGCTTTTTTTTCAGGGAATGGAATTTGTATTCCGAATAGCAATGGCCATTTTACAACAGGCACGTCTAGATTTGCTGAAACTCGATATGGAAGGAATGCTTAAGGTTTGATTCATAATGTATTTATGGGGAATAGTGCTTCTGTTACTTTTTTCGTCCACTTTTTTCCATTACATTGGATGATTTCTGTTTGAAAAAAGCTTCCTCATTTGGTCTCTGAGATTGATTTCTTTAGGAGAGAAACGCTTTTTTGCTTTATTCGCTAATTTGAATGATTCCACTGCTCAATGACAAATTCATAAAAAATTGCTATATTTGAACCCTGAGACTGAATTTTTTTTTGAAGGGAAGTGGTAGAGCCAAAAAAATGCCATTGCTATTCGGAATATTTGGAATACAAATTCCATTCTCCGAAAAAAAAACAGTTTTATCTGTAATCTACCGCTCAGTAATCATCTACCGTCCACTTGCTAGTTAACACATTTTGGTTGCAATTTTTTAAGTTAATCTTTGTGATTCAAGCCATTTTGCTTCTTTTTATCTCATTTCGATCAAGTTGTTTTGCTGTTGCTAAATGCCACAGATAAGTATTCCATTTAAAAAAAAAGTAATTTTCTGGAGTTTTTTTAAGCTTTCGTAGGTATTGCCTTCAAAATTGTTTTTAAATTTTATAAAAGAATTCGGTCGGAATTTGATAGTTTTTACCAAAAGCAATCATCCGTGAGTAGGCTGCCTTCTGTTCTCAGTAGTGGAACTTTTGATTTATCGTATTATTAAGAATTACTAAAAATTCTGGGTGGTAAAACTGATGAAGAGTTATTAAAAGAGTTAAGAATGGTCCCAGCAACATTACTAATGCGGATGCTCGCATCGATTGTTCGAGCAGTCTCTGTATTCTTTGTATATTAAAAAGTCCATCTAATAATTAAAATATGTGGAAGAAGACCCACCAGAAAGAACACCAGCTGTCCTCTGCTTTCATATGTTTTCTTTTGGACAAATCTCGGCTAGCTACTGCATTAGCTTTACATACCAAATTTTATTCTTTTTGGTTCCTTTTTTGACTCAGATTTGTGTGCCTTTGCTTGTTCTATTCTCGTTCAGACTTGCTGTACAAAAACGCTAATTTTACAGTATTTCCAACGTGAGGTACGTGATCGATACGAAAATGATCATGAGCTACTATTTATTGTGGCCAATAAAGTCAAACTGAATGCTAAAAAAATGAAAAA